GATGGGTTACGTTCATTGATTTGCGCATGTTGAACTGGCCTTGCATCCCAGGGATGAAGCTGACTTGATCATGGTGGATAAGTTTTTTGATGTGCTGCTGGATTCAGTTCACCAGTATTTCATTGAGGATTTTCACATTGGTGTTCATCAGGGATATTGGCCTGAAGTTTTTTTTTTTTTTTGGTCTCTTCCTGGTTTTGGTATCAGGATGATGCTGGCTTCATAAAATGAGTTAGGGAAGGTCCCTCTTTTTCAATTGTTTGGAATAGTTTCAGAAGGAATGGTACCAGCTCCTCTTTGTATTTCTGGTAGAATTCAGCTGTGAATCCATCTGGTCCTGGGCTTTTTTTGGTTGGTAGGCTATTAATTACCGCTTCAATTTTAGAGCTTGTTATTGGTCTATTCAGGGATTCAGCTTCTCCCTGGTTTAGTCTTGGTAGGGTGTATGCATCCAGGAATTTATCCATTTCTCTAGATTTTCTGTTTTATTTGCATAGAGGTGTTTATAGTGTTCTCTGATGGTAGTTTGTATTTCTGTGGGGTCAGTGTTGATATCCCCTTTATCACTTTTTATTGTGTTTATTTGATTCTTTTCTCTTTTCTCCTTTATTAGTCCAGCTAGTGGTCTGTTTTCTTAACTTTTTCAAAAAAGAAGCTCCTGGATTTGTTGATTTTTTTGGAGGGTTTTTCATGTCTCTGTCTCCTTCAGTTCTTTTCTGATCTTAGTTATTTCTTGTCTTCTGTTAACTTTTGGATTAATTTGCTCTTGCTTCTCTAGTTCTTTTAATTGTGATGTTAGGATGTCTATTTGAAATCTTTCGCGCTTTCTGATATGGGCATTCAGTGCTATAAATTTGCCTCTTAACACTGCTTTAGCTGTGTCCCAGAGATTCTGGTGCGTTGTCTCTTTGTTCTCATTGGTTTCAAATAACTTCTTGCTTTCTGCTTTAATTTCATTATTTACCCAGTCATTCAGGAACAAGTTATTAAATTTCCATGACATTATGTGGTTTTGAGTCAGCTTCTTAATCCTGAGTTCTAATTTGATTGCACTGTGGTCTGAGAGACTGTTACAAATTCAGTTCTTTTGGATTTGCTGAGGGTGTTTTACTTCCAATTAGGTGGTCAATTTTAGAATAGGCGCCATGTGGCACTGAGAAGAATGTATGTTCTGTTGATTTGGGGTAGAGAGTTCTGTGGATGTCTATGAGGTCCGCTTGATCCAGAGCTGAGTTGAAGTCCTGAATATCCTTGTTAATTTTCTGTCTTGTTGAGCTAATACTGATAGTGGGTGTTAAAGTCTCCTACTGTTATTGTGTGGGAGTTTAAGTCTCCTTGTAAGTCTCTGAAAACTTGCTTTATGAATCTGGGTGCTCCTGTGTTGGGCGCCTGTGTATTTAGGATAGTTAGCTCCTCTTGTTGCGTTGATCCCTTTACCATTATATTATGCCTTTCTTTGTCTTTTTTGATCTTTGTTAGTTTAAAGTCTGTTTTATCAAGGACTAGGATTGCAACCCCTGCTTTTGCTTTTGCCTTCCATCTGCTTGGTATATTTTCCTCCATCCCTTTATTTTGAGTCTGTGTATGTCTTTGCGTTTAAAATGGGTCTCCTGAATACAGCACATTGATGGGTCTTGACACCTTATGCAATTTGCCAGTCTGTGTCTTTTAATTGGGGCATATGGCCCATTTACATTTCAGGTTAGTATTGTTATGTGTGAATTTGATCCTGTCATCATGATGCTAGTTGGTTATTTTGTGCACTAGTTGATGCAGTTTCTTCATAGTGTCATCGGTCTTTGTATTTTCGTGTGTTTTTGCAGTGGCTGGTACCGGTTTTTCCTTTCCATATTTACTGCTTGTTTCAGAAGCTCTTGCAGGGCAGGCCTGGTGGTAACAAAATCCCTCAGCATTTGCTTGTCTGGAAAAGATTTTATTTCTCCTTTGCTTATGAAGCTTAGATTGGCTGGATATGAGATTCTGGGTTGAAAATTCTTTAAGAATGTTGAATATTAATTCTTCCTTTTCTAGCTTGCAGAGTTTCTGCCAAGAGGCCTGCTGTTTGTCTGACGGCTTTCCTTTGTAAGTGACCTGGCCTTTCTCTCTGGCTGTCCTGAACAGTGTTTCCTTTGTTTCGACCTTGGAGAATCTGAGGATTATGTGTCTTGGGGTTGATCTTCTTGTGGAGTATGTTAATGGTGTTCTCTGTATTTCCTGAATTTGCATGTTGGCCTGTCTTGCTAGGTGGGGACGTCCTGTTGGATAACATCCTGAAGTATGTTGTCCAGCTTGTTTCCGTTCTCCCCATCTCCTCCTGGTACTCCAGTCAATCAGAGGTTCAGTCATTTTATAAAGTCCCATATCCTTGGAGGCTTTGTTCATTCCTTTTCATTATTTATTCTGGTCTTCATGTCTTAATTTCAGTAAGGTGGACTTCAGACTCTGATATCCTTTCTTCCGCGTGGTTGAGTCAGCTTGTTGATACTGGTGTGTGCTTCATGAATTTCTCGTGCTGTGTTTTCCAGATCCATCGGGTGGTTTAAGTTCCTCTCTGAACTGTCTATTCTAGTTAACAATTCCTCTAACCTTTTATCAACGTTCTTAGCTTGTTTGCATTGGGTTAGAACATGCTCCTTTAGCTCAGTGTAGTTTTGATTACCCATCTTCTGAAGCCACTTCTGTCAGTTTGTCCACCTCATCCTCCGTCCAGTTCTGCGCCCTTGATGGAGAGATGCTGCAATCATTTGGAGGAGAAGGGGCACTCTGGCCTTTGGGTTTTCAGCATTTTTAAATGGATTCTTTCTCATCTTCATGAGTTTGTCTAGTTTTAGTCTTTGAGGCTGCTGAACCTCGAGTGGGGTTTTTGTGGGGACTTTTCTTGGTGGTGCTGTTGCTTCCTGCTTGTTCCTCCTCAGTAGTCAAGTCTCTCTTCTGTAGGGCTGCTGAAGTTTGCTGGGTTCACTTCAGGCCCTATTCAACCGATTTGCTCCTGTTCCTGGAGATGTCACTCAAGGAGGCTAGAGAGCAGCAAATATGGGTGCCTGCTGCTGCTCCTGGGACCTCTGACTATGAGGGGTGCCAACCTGATGCCAGTAGGATTGCTCCTGTATGGGGTACCTGACAACCCCTGTTGACAACCCCCTGACAACAGGGAGCAGGACCCGTTTAATGAAGCATTTTGTCCCTTGGTGGAGAGGGTGTGTTTCGCTGGGGGAAAACCCACTTGTCTGGGCTAAGGGCTGGTGGGGGCTCAGGTCACCAAGTGAAGGGGCCCTACTTTTGTTTGAATGGGGACTCTGGACTAAGCTGGGTGAGCTCCAGTATATGCAAGAATTGCCTCTCTCCTGGGGAGCTCCCCAAGCCAATGACCCCATCATTCCTGGGTTGAAAACCACTATCTTAGGGTGAAGGACAGCAAGAGAGTCAGTGCTGGGACCATTCCGACCAATGCGGATAACCTCTGCTGCCGGGAACCACAAGTATCTGGCTGCATCAGGTTTCTGGGAGTGACCACAATTTGAAATCCCAAAGCATCTTACTGTCTTCTTTGAAGAAATACACAGCCAGGAGGCCAGATGAGGTGTAAGGTTGAGGGTCCATGATAGCGTCTCTACGAAGAATCCCAAAGCCAGGGCAACACCAAACTGCGGTGATTTGTGGTGACCCAAAGTGTTACCAATTGGATTCATCCAAAGATGTGATGCAGAAAACTTCAGGGTTAGATAGTAATGCACATTTATTATAGAACAATTTGGAACATACAGAAAACTGCTGTAAAGGTATCACCCGTGCGCATCTACAGCTCTGTTTTAGTTTCTGTTCTTCATGTGGTTGATACTACTGTACCCTGCTGGGGTTCACTTCAGGTCACCTGGGAAGGGTAGGCCATTCAGGGAGGCCCAGGGCCCTGGGTGAGTCCTTGGGGCGTGGGAAGCCGGGTGGCAGGGTGCCTGTGTGTTGTTTGCCGGTGCCCAAGCTGGGCAGCATGCAGACTGCAGTGTGGCTTGAATCCCACCTCACCACTTACGGGGAGGATTCAGTGAATTCACGGAAGGAAGGCTCCTAGAATAGGGCCTGGCACATGGGCAGTACTTAATAAAGGTTAGTGATGCTGTTTAGTTTTCTTGTCATGGTAACTGCTGGCTCTGCTCTGTTTTCTCCGGAACTCTTGATGTAATTTAATCAGCCCGGAGCGCTTCTGTTCTGAGAGCCTGCTGCATGCCATGTGCTGCCACAGGAGCCGGGCATGCGGCCGTGACCAGGACCAGCAGGTGCCATGCACACACACCTGACCCCATCAGCACACAAGGCAGGATGACAGTGAAGCTGTGACTCAGATAATGCAGGACCATGCTCTGGGGCAGCACTACTCGGGGGGACATTGCCAGCCACGGTGTGAGTTAAAGTGTTCCTGTGGCCATGGTAAGGAAGGAGGAAGCAACAGGTGAGATGGGTTTTAAAAATATATTCTATTAATATAATATATAAACCATGTGATCATAACACATTATGAATGCAACGTCTAATCCATATAGAAACTGTCCGTGAGGTAATGCACACTCACTTTTTTGTGCTCAGTCTGCAGTATGTCTCCTAATTACAGTGCATCTCCGCTGGACCACTTTTCGGGTGTCCTGTAGCCTTTGTGGCTCGAGGCTCCTGTGTTGGACAGCACTGGGGTGAAGGAGGGGCTGCTTATGCAGGTGATTCGGATGGTCCTTCTGATGGGGTGACAGTGAAGCACAGACCCAGAGGATGAGGGGAGATAGCCACCTGATGATTTGGGGGCACACAGCCCTGGAAGGAGGGGTTTGGGAAGATGAGCTTAGTGTGCATGCGGCTCTTCTCCAAGAAAGCCGCTGTGGCTGCAGTGAAGGGAGGGTGGGGCTCAGAGGCGGGCGAGGAGGGAGGGGAATCAGAGCTGCACCCCACAGGCCACAGAGAACGGTAGAAGGAGGTCAGATTCCATGCTGGTTGTGGTGGTGGAAAGCCAGTGGAAGGGTTGAGCAGGGGTTGGCATGATCTGACTTAGGCTTTCAAAAGGATCCCTGTGGCTTTTCTATGGAGGTAGGAAGACCAGTTAGGAGGGTGGTGGCTGGAGTGGGTGGAGGTGGAGGAGGTGGTGAGAAGTCTGGGGTTTAGTGGAGTACATTTTAAAGCTCTGGGGAGAAGGCTTGTGGAGGGCCTGGGTGTGAGGGGTGACGGAAGGAGGGCCATCAGGAGTGGCTGTCAAGGATGGGGCAACTTGGAGAGGAGCAGATTTGGGGAGGAAAGTGGGAATTTGTCTTGGAACGTATAAAGCTTGAGGTGCCCTGGGACCTCTAAGTCCAGGGTATCAAGTGGGCAGCTGGAGTGATCTGCAGCCAGGGGAGTTGCCAGGATGGGACATGGGTGGGGACGCTGGCGTGGCATTGAGACCTGGCTTGCCTAGCATTCTTTTTCATGGGCTGACCGGCTTGGGTCAACACATTTTTAACTCTGCAGAGCAGGGTGGTGCCTATGTTTGCCCTTAATGTGAGGCATTTGTGTGTGCTGCAGGCATCAGTGGCGTTTAGGAGCCTCAGGGATAGTGTTATACTTATGTAATAACTGAAAATCGACTACTAAATATCCATGTTACCCCCAAAGAAATTCCTTTTGCCACCAGGAATTTCTCACAGTGCCTTTTTCTCTGCGGGGGTCTGAACCCCGCCATGCCCTTGCCTGTGCCGCGTTTCCTGTCTGCGGATGCCCGGCTGTCCTCACGGACCCAGGGGACCCGCGGTGCCTCCGCCTTTGGAATCTGCTCCTCTCCCTTTACCAGGCGATGCAGAGAACCTTGTTCTCTCCCTTCTTATGAATTATGTAATACCCACTTGCCAAAAAATATTACAGCGAATTTTTTTTTTCTTTTGAAACAGAGTCTCAAAAGACTGGAGTGCAGTGGCATGATCTCAGCTCTCTGCAAACTCTGCCTCCCGGGTTCAAGCGATTCTTGTGCCTCAGTCTCCCAAGTAGCTGGGATTACAAGTATGCACCACTACGCCTGGCTAAGTTTTATCTTTTTAGTAGAGACGGGGTTTCGTCATGTTGCCCAGGCTGGTTTTGAATTCCTGGCCTTAAGTGATCCACCTACTTTGGCCTCCCAAAGCACTGGGATTACAGGCGTGAGCCACCGCACCCAGCCTACAATGAATTGTTTCAAATAAAAATTGCCCTCACATATTGCATATGTAATATGAAAAAAGACATATTACGCAATGAGACACTGGGCGCTCTTCCTTCGTTCAGCGCTAACCGTGGCCCTCGCCATGACTGGATGTTCTTCTGCAGGCCGACACTCAGTACCCACATGGAGTGCATCGTTTGGCTGGACCACACTTACCCGGCCGCCCCTGTTGTTCTCCGTTTGTTTCTTCCCAGTTTTCCCCATTAAACGCTGCCTCAGATGTCTTGGTACTCACATTCTGGCGCTCATCGCTGGTTATTTTCTTGGTAGAATTACACAATGTAAAATGATTGTTTCCAAAGATAGGCCTATTTTTAAGACTTGATCAAGTTGTCTTTTTTTCACGTCTATGGGCCATCTGTGTTTCTGCTGTCATTTCTTGGGCTGTTTTTCTTTGATGGTTTTGTCTTGTCCTGGTGTGTTTGGGAGGGGGCTTTTCATGTCCCGGTGTCCTGGAAGGTGGGTGGGGTGCAGGGGGAGCTTGGGCACACAGGGCTCCTTTGAGGCTCAACAGGACTAGCCGGGATGGAAGTGAGGTCCTCAGACTGTCCTAGAGCCTGCCTGGCTTAGTGCTATGCTCCTGCAAAGTTAGGTGTTACACCCATTTTAGAGATGAGAAAATGAGTTTCAGAGGGGTGACTCTGGACAGTCACGTAGCGCCTATGCAGCAGAGTCAGGATTTGAACCTGGGCAGACGCTGGCTGATCCGGAGTGTAGCTCCGGTCGCTGTGCAGGCTGGTTCCTGCCTCGAAGTTGGCACTCAGATAGCTGTTGAATGAATACAGGAAAACGTAAATCTAGTTTTAGCTTCCGTTTTTTGTAAGACAGATTAGCTCACTGTAAAATCTGTTTTCTTCCTTTGCCAGGAATCCGTCAACAGAGACTCTTTCCCCTATCCTGTTGTAGAGTTGATTGACACAGTTCTTTGTGCCTGGAAAGCAAATTATGTTAAAATGTTCTTCATGACCTATTTATAAGTGATACGATTCCTCAGCACTCTTTGGTTATAATCTGTGTCCTGCGATGTTCTTAACACAGAACTGCTGCCCCTCAGGTGAGTGGGGCTCCTAGGTCCCATGGCCCTCCTGTTCAGGTCAGGCTTCTAACTTACCTTTCAGAGAGCTCTGCCTGCCGTCACCACGCAGTGGTGTTGTGACCTGACGTGGGGCAAGTCCCGCAGGCTGAGTCTGTGTACTGAGCTCCGATGTAGCAAGTGACCACGTCGGGAAAACTGTTCATTATCCTCTTAATGCGCTGGCTTTTTCACCATCGGTGCAGCATGTGTTTCCAAAATGTGACTCCCTCACCCACATCTCCTGTCTCTAAGGCATTTCAGCCACCCACAGCCCCTTCAGAATCTGCTTTCCCTTCTCACGGACTTAGCTTTTGAACATGCGTGTACCAAGTGGCATTTCATAACTCATAGTCTTCTCGTATCAGAGCGAGGCCTGGCTGCCAACAGAGCATCTGATCAGCCTAGGTGGTCGGCCTGCCCAGAGAGAGCTGCTGTCATTTCCACCTGAGGGTGGGTGTGGGCGTGGCCAGCCTGTGCAGCCTGCTGGTGTGAGTGAGGTCTCAGCTTCAGGTGGACTTTTGGAGTGTGACCTGTGTGGCCCGTCTCTTCTCTCAGAGTGCCTGGGTGGAGTGTACTGGAGTCCCAGCATGATGGATGATGGGCCACTTCCTACGGGGTGGGGAGCAGTGAAGACTTCATCTGGGGATGCTTGTCCTCTCCGCTGGGAGTGTCAGTCTGGAGCGCGTGAGCAGCGTTAAGGCCGCTCTGCAGCTCTTTGTGCAGATGTATGGCAGAGGCTCCACCCTCTGTGTTCCCTACCCTAAAACAAACCCAAACATTAGTGTAATTGCCCCACAAGCTGTCCCAGGACTTTTGCACCTCAGATGCGTCCATGTGCCATTGACTAAGATTAGAAGCATCTCGAGGCCAGGGAGCCGCTCCCTGCCCCTGTGCCCTCCTTAAACACAGCAGAGGGTCTCACGCAGGGTCAGCACTCAAGCCATATTTACTCTTATGTCTGAGAGAATGGATGTAGGTGGGATACACTTGCTCAGCATGATTTCTCCCCCAGGATTAATAAATATACAAAGATGTGATAAAGTTAAAAATGGAGGCCTTGTAATTCCGCAGGAAGGAAGACAATGGAATTAAAGATGGAAAAGGCAAGGAGCCTCTGAATCAGCCTGCTGTCCTCTTAGGTGCTCGTGTTCTGGTTCTAACAGTGTGTCCACTTGAAGTATCACCCGGGCCGCTGCGAGGCATGTGTGTCTTGCATTTCTCTGCCCACTCCCACGGCCCCTCCTTGAGTTCACACCCTCCTGTTTCTGGCCTGGGCCGCTTTGGGAGTCTCCCGTCTGGCCCAAGGGCGTCCAGCTCACCCTCCCTGTCTGTCACCCACAGGCGATCTTGTGGGAGACCAGTCCCCTTGCCTGAGCGTCTGCTTTTAGAGCCTTGTTAGCCTCCTCCCTGGAGCCCAGAGTCCAGTCCGGACTTCTCAGCCTGGGACAGGAGGCCACACCTCTCACCGCCTCCCACTCTGCCTGCCTCACCCTCCGCCTGCCTCACCCTCCTGCCTCTCCCTGGGCTGTTCTCTGCCACCTGCTGTCACCCTAGCCACACAGGCTCATCTCTGCTCTTCAGGTGAGCCGTGTGCACGCGCACACACAGATGAACGTCCTCATACCGAGCCCTCATTTCCTTTGTGCCTGGCACTGTTCTTTGTGCCTCGGGTGTCTTATTTCATACTTGCAGCGACGCACGTGGCAGGCACTCTGTTGTCCCTGTTTCAGATGAGGAGCTAGAGGCACTGATACAGTAAGCAAAGTCCCCAATGTCACCCACTCACCAGTGTCACAGGACTGGGATTAGAGCCCAGGCGTGTCCCTGCCCCCTTCTCATTTCTGCCATGCTGGGGGGTGGTTCCCCTGCTTCACTCCTGCGAATTCTCCAAGTGGCAGCTCAAATAGCTTCTCTTCTTTGTGGCTCATTTTTCTTTGACTCTTCTCTCCATTCTGGCAAAATTCATTGTGCTGTCATCAAGTACATTGTTTCATAGTTCCTTTTGGCCCGGGCTGTGAGCCCTCAGGGTAGAGGTACATCTTAATCATCTTTGGTTCCGAGGTTCGTGGCACAGAGGAAGTAGGTACCTGGTAAAATTAGGTAATGTTTGGAGTGTCTTGGAAATGTGTGTTTTGGAGCTCACCCCCGCTTCGCGGCCTGCTGAGTGGGGACTTTGTGAGGAACCTCGCCCTGTGTTTGCTTCTCTTCTGTGCTCCCTGATGCGCATGAAGTCACCTCTGCTTTTGCTGCTGATTAGAGACAGAACTCAACTGACTTACTAGCGCGGAGAGAATACATCTACTTAACATTGCTGCCAAATTAATACTGCATCTGGAAGGCCAGAGAAGAGCCACGTTAAGAGAGTCTTACTGCATAATTTATGAAAGACTGAGTCATAAAATAAGCATTTACAATGGCCTGTTTGCCCAAGGTAGGGAATGATAATGCAGCTATTATTCATTGCGATGGGGGCAGTGGCGTTTCTATACCTCCAGAAGGTCTTCTGGCTCTCAACTGCCTCCATGGATTTCTGAGGTTATCTCTAGTGTTTCTTTCTGAAATTGGCTGTCTTCCTACTTGGGGGCCAGAGCTTTGGAGTTCAGCATCGTGTGAAACGATTTTACAAGAACTGTGTGTGTCGATATTTCTAGACAATGGAAGTAAAGGAAAAAAAATCCCAAGACACCAGATTCAGTGCCAGCTCAGTACCAGGCACCATGAAA